TGCAAACAGTAACCAGAAGAGAGCTGGGATGGCTATCCTCTAATATCAGATAAAATAGAGTCAAAACTTGTTACAATAGACAATGAAGCAGATTTACACTAATAAAAGATCAATTCATCGAAAAGATTTAACAATTATATACACAGTTAACCAAGAAAAAGAAATTAAAAGCATCCAAACTGGAAAAGAAAAAATAAGAATGGGGAGTGCTTAAAAACAGGGTGTTTTTATGGGGCGATGAAAAGTTTTCTGGAGTGATGAAAAAGAAGGAAGCCTCTGTACAATACTAGAGTGTCTTCCACATTCTCCCTTTCCCCACCTCCGCGTAAGGAAAGAATCAGGGACCTTCAATGGGAACCACTGAGTCTTGGTTGTCATCAATTCTTACATCACTTTGAAGCTGTGTCCCCGCCTTGGCCCGTAGCAGCTCAGGGGTATCTGCCACCGGGGTGAACCTGGAGATGCGCTCATCATGCCCTCTCTTGTATTCCACCTGGTGAAGAGACAGCAGACAGTCAAGACTGCACCCTCCTCGCACCTCTGTGAGGACCTCTCCTTTCTGCTCTCTTGAAAGGGAGGAGCCACCGACAGGTTACACTCAACCCAACACCGGTGGTGAAACTTCCACAGCTTGTTTTATGGGATTGCCCTCAAAAAGTATTGATGCTAATGTGCTTACCCCAATGAACTGCCAGACACTGCTAAACATTAACAAATATTAACTCAATTTCCGTAACAATCACATGAGGCAGGACTAGTATTTCCCCCATTGTACAAATGAGAAGCTGAAGAACAGCCAGGTTAAGTAATTTGACCAACGTCACACAGCTAGTAAATGGTAGAGTCAGGACTTAAAATCTAGCTGTCTGGCTCCAGAATCTGAGGTCACACAGATTCTTCATACAAAACTATTCATACGGATCTATCATCCAGTTTATAAAAGTCAGTGTCCTCAGGGAAGAGGTAACTAGTAGGAAGAAGTGGGAGGAGAGCTGTTGTATTGGGGTAAATTATAGCCAATGTCATGAGTCAAAGTATATGTGAACTGCTGTATGGAAAGTGAATTTGCTGTAAACTTTCACCCAAATCACAAAACAAAACAAAAAAAAAACCCTAAAATAAATAAATAAAAAGTTAGTGTCCTTAAAAGTAAAGCAACCTCAGGGAGGTCTAGTCTTAGGAGAGCCAGATGGATGTTCTTCTCTCTACTTTATAGAGGATAACTGATGGAGAGAGGATAAAAACAGTTTTGTCCGTAATGCTCACTAACAGTACCTATTGCCTAAAAGCAACTCTATTGCTTCTTTTTGTTCGCTAATGACAAACAGAGGGTAGGCCTGATCGATGGTGAATAAGCACAGAGACACGCACTTGGCTGGCCAGCTGGTTGGCTTTCTTGGCCCTTTGATAGGCAGGCGTGATCATGGCCGGAAAGCTCCCCTTTCCTCTCTGTTGCTCAGAGTCTTCTGTATACTCCTGCTGGTCAGAACCAACGTCAGAATGAGAACCAGTACGATGTGGGCTGAGAACGAATAAAACTGCAATAACAGGCATCAGCGTAACCAGTCCTTAAACTGCATTTACATGGCACTTGGAAATTATTTCAGTCACCTGAAATTAATTTGAAAATATTATTTAACCGGCAATTTGAATAACACCACCAACACCAAAGATATCACATTACCAGGTCAAAGGAACTTCTGTTATAACGCAAACACCAAATAATGTGGAACTTTGGATGATCCAAGAGATGTCCTTTGACTCAAAGGCTTGTATAACAGCAATTAATATGCAAGAGTCTTTTCTGTAACTCTTCCACCAGAGCCAGCTCTACAGCATTGAGAGCGAAATGCCTGCCAAATTTTCTGCCTCAATTGTTGAGTGTCTCAGATGATTAGTTTTCCAAATAAGGTATCTCACCTTAGCATTTGTGTTTCTATTGTTTTCTTCACATGTTCTAAAGGAAAAGTCACCGAAGAGTAACAATACTTTTCAAAGTAAATGCTTCAAAGGGAAATACACTGAGTGTGTGTGTGTGGGGTAAGACTAGAGGGGTACTATATGTAAACTGTTAAGGATTTCCACAATCCAGGCCAAAATTGCCCTTCCTACATTAAAACCTACCAAAGTCTCCAATATAAAAGACCGTTCTAAACTAATGTTAAACGAATCGCTAAAGTAATTTCCAGGGTCCTTACCTCACCAAGAGACTTTCGTGCCTCAACCATCCTTACAATTTCCGGGTCTGGCAGAGCTCCCGGGCACCAAGTATTCCCTTCCCCATATCCAGTCCAATAGGTTCTCTGCAAAGGAAGCATACAGACTTATATAAACACACATTCTACACATTTATTTGGGAAGATCCCCATATCTGCCACATGCTCCCAGCAGTGCTCACATACATTGCCTATATGAGATAGAAAGTCTCTAAAAACTCTAACTCCTATTGGTAAACAGTGGGTCTCAGCTAATGAGATGTTCAGTTTTCCAGACTAGAAGATGATACAATATTCTGAATAATCAAACATTCTGAGATTCACCTACATCAAACACTTCCAAATGTAACTTACTATTTCTTTCTTCATCATTCCACCAAGACTAGGTGGAGTTGCTGTAGACAGGGCATCTCAGGTAAACAGCATTATTCAGACAAGATTAAAAAAAAACATCTACTGTTACATACTTAACATGGAGCTAAAAAGACCTTATTGGGAAAAGAAAATCCAAAACTGAAAGACAAAGTTGTTCTTTTCAGATACTTATGATCTACCTCTGGAGAAAGAGCTACTGTATGACACAACTAGTGATTAGAAGCATTTGTGTGCTTAGACATACTATGTTGTTGTTATTTGCCCTCGAGTTGGACCCGAATCATAGCCACCCCTCCTTGGGTTGGCGAGATGGTATCACTACAGAAGTAGATTGCCCAACCTTCCTTCCGAGGAGTGGCTGTGGGTTTGAACCGCCAGCCTTCTGGTTAGCAGTCAAGTGCCTTAGGCACTACGCTACCAGAGCTCCCTAGACATACTACACAAATGATGAAAGATAGGAGGCTTTAAAAAGCGGTTTGTATGAGATGGATTCTATTATTGGCAAGAAAATGGAGTTTGGGCTGGGCTTCCAAGGCGGAGGTCAGTTGCCAGAGGCCAAGGGCAAAGCACCCACTCTAGAAGATCAGCTTCATGCAGGTGGGGACGCCCATCTCTTTTGTTCACTAACACATCCCAGAAGCCTGGAACACTGCCTGACATGTAGTAGATTAAAAAAAATATTTGTTGAATATCTTCTATGGGTGAGAAGGCCATGAATAAAAGCATGAAGCCAGTGTTTGGCTCCTTGACTGCTAACCAGAAGGCTGGCGGTTCAAACCCACCAGCCACTTCTCAGACGGAAGGTTGGGCAATCTACTTCTGTAGCGATACTACCTCGGAAACCCAAGGAGGGGTCACTATGAGTTGGGTCTGACTCGATGACACATAACAACAACAACAACAACAGCAAAAGATCAGGAGACACTGCTTTGCTTGGAACTGAAGTGAACAATTAGGGAGCAAAGTGATGGTGGAGGAGGGCAAGTTGGGCAGGTTGGAGAGAGCCGGCCTGTGGAGATATGAGAGACAGACAATTAACAAGTGAAAACAGGCTCAACCACATTAGCAATCAACTCATTTAACTGACAACAACAAGGTATGGATGGTCAAACCATTTATTTGGTAACAACAAGTGTGGGAAAATAGGTATTCCCATACTCTGTTTGTGGGAGAGTATAAAAACACATGGCCAGTGACCTTTACAATTAAACATGCACACACCCTTTGACCTAGCAAAGTCGTTTCTCATTAGCTACAGAAACACATGGTGTCTCCATAAATCAGAATCAACTGTGAGGGCAACTGGTTTTTAGAGAAACACTCACTAGTGTCCACAAGGGGTCATGAGCAAGAATGATCACTGCAACTTTGTAGTACAAAAAACAACTGGAAACAACCCTACCCATCAATAGTGCAGCACTGGTACACTTCATAACGGTTTAAAAAGATGTGAACTTGAGTATATCTCCAAGATATTTGTGGAGTGGAAACTGTAAGCTTTAAAACAATGCATTTTGTTTCATTTTTTAAAAATTACATGTTTCAATAGGAATACATATAATTTTTTATAAAAAATAACAACAGCTCTGGTAGCATAGTGCCTAAGGCACTTGACTGCTAACCAGAAGGCTGGCGGTTCAAACCCACTCCTCGGAAGGAGGTTTGGGCAATCTACTTCCATAGTGATACTGCCTCAGAAACCCAAGGAGGGGTCACTATGAGTCGGGTCTGACTCGATGGCACACAACAGCAACAACATTTATTCTGCAGCGAGTTTGGTTTTTAGAGTTTTACCACTGTTTTATTATATTGTTGAACAATATCTTTAACATCAAATGCAAGCAAAATTATGATGAACATTATTCAAAAACAGTTGTGGTGGTACATGGACAGGAAACTACCAGAAATTCAAGCTGGATTCAGAAGAGCACATGGAATGAGGGATATCATCGCTGATGTCAGATAGATCTTAGTTGACAGCAAAGAATACCAGAAAGATGTCTACCTGTGTTTTACTGACTATACAAAAGGTATTTGACCATGTGGATCATAACAAATTACGGATAAAATTGTAAAGAATGGGAATTCCAGAACACTTCATTGTGCTCATACAGAAACTGTCCCTAGACAGTTGTTGGAACAGAACAAGGAGATACTCCATGATTTAAAATCAGGAAACGTATGCATCAGGATTGTATCCTTTCACCACACTAATTCAGTCTGTATGCTGAGCAAATAATCCAAGATCCTGGGCTATATGAAAAAGAATGTGGTATCAGGATTGGACGGAGATTCATTCATAAGCTGCGGTATGCAGATGACACAATCTTTCTTGCTGGAAGTGAAGAGGACTTGAAGCACTTACTGATGAAGATCAAAGACTACAGCCTTCAGTATGAATCACACCTCAACATAAGGAAAACAAAAATGCTCACAACTGGACCAATAAACATCATTATGATAAATGGAGAAAAGATTGAAGTTGTTGAGGATTTCATTTTACTTGGATCCACAATCAACGCACATAGAAGCAGCAGTCAAGAAATCAAATGACACGTTGCATTGAACAAATCTGCTGCAGAAGATCTCTTTAAAGTGTTAAAAAGCCACTTTGAGGACTAAGGTGTGCCTGACCCAAGCCATAGTATTTTCAATTACCTCATATGCATGTGAATAAGGAAGATCAAAGAAGAATTGTTATCTTTAATTTATGGTGTTGGTGAAGAATATTGAGTATATCATGGACTACAAGACAAATAAATCTTTCTTGGAAGAAGTATAGGCAGAATGCTCTTTAGAAGGAAGGATGGTGAGAATTTGTCTCACATACTTTGGAGGAACCAGTTATTAGGAGGGCCAGTCCCTAGAGGGGAGCTCTGGTAGCATAGTGGCTAAGTCACTTGCCTGCTAACCAGACGGCTGGCGGTTCAAACCCACCAGCCACTCCTCGGAAGGAAGGTTGGGCAATCCTACTTCCGTAGTGATACTGCCTCGGAAACCCAAGGAGGGGTCGCTATGAGTCGGGGCCGACTCGATGGCACATAACAACAACAACAACAGTCCCTAGAGAGGGATATCTTACTTGGTAAAAGAAAGGGTTAGCAAAAAGGTAGAATACCTTCAACAACATAGAATGACAAAGTTGCTGCGAGAATGGCTCAAATATAGCAGTGATTGTGGGGACGGCACAAGACCAGGCAGTGTTTCATTCCATTGTACAAAGGGTCACCATGACTTGGAATAGACTCAACAGCACCTAACAACACCACCACCACTGTTCTAAGATCTTTAGGTATAGCTCTTCTTTTAATCTTCAGAATAGCTCTGGGAATCGCGACCTGTTTGAAATTCACTGTACACATGAGAAAACTGAAGCAAAAATGGTTAAGTAACTTGTTCAATGTCCCTCAGTAAGTGACAGTTGGCCACTTCAGACTGATGTACAAATGCCAGTTATTTATTATTTATAAAGGAACTGAGAATTCTGGAAGGATACTAACACTGATAGCAGTGCATATCAGAAATGGTAAACAAGCTTTGTACTGTTAGAACTTTTTGCAATAAGAAAAATTCAATTATTGTATATATAATTAAAAATAAATAGCTGAGAGACTTTCAAATGATGAGGTTGTCAACAGAGGGTGACCATAAATTCTCAGGTGATGGGAAGAGTAAGTCAGAGACATCCAGGAAGCTGTGTCTGACCAGTATGAACAGGGCATGCTAGAGAGAGGCAAACACAGACAGGGGGATGCCACCTCAAATTCCTCACAAAGAAGCAGGCAGGAGATGATGTGGTTTGGAACTGGGATGGTGAAAATGGAGAGAGAGAGAGGTCAAACTGAGTGGAGTGTCAGAAAAAGAAAGGGCAGCCTTGATCTTAAGCTTGGGTGAGTGTTATCAGTGGCTGAAATACAGTGGTTGGAGAGAAAAGTCAATGAACTTGGCCTGGAGTGCATACAGTGGAGGTGATCTGGAGCATGTTGATGGAGATCTTCTGTGACAGCTGGAATTATACACTGAGTTAAAGAAAGCCTAACCGATTTGTTTTTCTGGAAAGTAATAATGATAATGCATTTCACTTGCATAGTGTATACTTCTGCTCTCTTGCCCCAACCCCATTTGTAATTCTCCTCTCACCTCATTCACCAATGGTTGCCTGTTAGGTGCAGCTTCCCCGTCCTTGGATTTCATGTCCCAATGAAAGACTGATTTAAATCGCTCACCATCTTCTTGCTCATCCATCTGCACAATGAAGATGCCATCAGTAAAATTGCCATCAGAGAAAAGACAGAAAATAAATAATATAGAGATAAACTTTGGGATTTTCCTGCCTTGATGGCACAGCATCTTGACTGCAATACAGTGCAAGCTGTGCTACCAGTCTCATCATGGCTTCATCTGCACCCCATGGTAGCACGTACGTACAGAGTAACTGCTGTGTGCAAAGCTCCAGTCATCAGGGCAGTTAAATAACGGCAGTTAGGTAACATCTCCATGAGCTCACCACACAACACAAAGTATTAGAGTAGACTCAGAAAATGCTTGAGACATTAGAGTGGTGATCCTCAACTTTAGTTTGAGTAACAACACCCAGGGAGCATGTTAAAATACTGGCTCCCCAAATTCATGAAGGTGTTCTCCTGTGCTTTATTGGTTTATCTTTAACATTTCAACTTATAATACACTTCAAATTAATCTTTATGTATGTTGTGAGGTAGGGGTCAAGGTTCTTTTTTTTTTTTTTTTCTCTAAGACTATCCAACAGCTCCAGTATAATTTACTGAAAGATCATTCATGCTACATTAAATTGCAGTGGTGTCTGTCATAATTCAAGTGGCCATGTACGTGTAATTCTGTTTCTATTCTTTTTCATTGGTCTATTTGTCCTTATGCCACCATGACACTGTGTTCATTGCTATTGCTTTTATAGGAAGTCTGGATATCTGGTGGCCTAAGTCCTCTAGTTTTGTTCTTTTTCAAGATTTCTTAACTATTGTAGAATTTTTGTGTTTTCATATCAATTCTAGAATGAGCCTGTCAATCTCTACCCCTACCAAAAAAAAAAAAAAAAGCACCAAGACTTTGATTGAGATTGCACTGAATGTACAGATGGATTTGGGGAGAACTGACATCTCAACAATATCTTCATGATCTGGGGGTAGGCAAAGCTTTCCTAAACAGAACACAAAAAGGACTACCCACAAAAGAAACCTAGAGATCATCGTTTATTAGGACCGAAATGAGGCCCAGAAATCTGCAGTTTTAACAGTCTGACAAGGTGACTCTGATTTCACTGTTAGAATTTATTACAGTTTAAACCCTTAATTTTACAGATAAGGAAACAAGCTCAAAGAAAAGAAGTAAACTTGATAAAATCACATAGCAATTTAGCAGAGTCAAATTTAGAATCCAGGAATTCTAGTTCCCTATTGAGGGCACTTTCTGGGCTTGCTACTGCTTAAATACATAGATATCTATTTAATTTATATATATGGGTATGTGTGTGTGCATAAATTGAGAGATCTTTGCATGCTATTTTCCTTCCATTTGGAGAAACCACATGGACATTATGTAGAGTAATGGCAGAGCTCCTCAGTGGAGCACTGGTAACGTTTTGATCCAGTTAATTCTTTGTTGTAGAGGACTGGCCTGTACATTGCAGGATGTTCAGCAGCATCCCTGGCCACTACCCACTAGATGCCAGTAGCAACCTCCATACTCTGAGTTGTGACCATCAAACATGTCTCTAGACATTGTCAAATATCCCTTGGGGGGTAAAACTGTCCTCTGTTGAGAACTATAGACTCAAAGAATCAAAAACACATGACCAAAATAAATATTCTTCCCACTTGCAGGAAGCTGTGTGGCTGTCCTCCTCCCATGACACAAATCCACCCTTGGACTCCCCAGAGACTTGTCTAGAGACTCGTGATACGCTGAGGAAGTAGGTAGAGGCAGGAAAAGCTGTAACCGTTCTTAGTGGGGTAAGGAAACATCAAGGCTAAAGTTCATTCCCCGAGTAGAAGAAAATCTAAATGCTTTCTTCTTCTAAAAGTCAGTTCATACTTACAAAACGGGAAACTCTGTCTTAGTAAATATTTACATATTTTTTAAAGAGTAGCATTTAGGAAACAGAAAAGTATAAATCTGCTTAAATGCCAACTCAAAATTTTTATCCTATTTCTCTCCTTCATTGCCATCACTAAAGTATCACTTTGTTTTCCCTTTTTCACTATAGCAGATGCACAATGAATGTGTTTTCTATTCAACTGGCAAGTCTTCAGTAGACACAAGGAGTAAGAAAGTAATCCATCACACACACACAGGGTGGTTGAAAATCGGGGGCCTAGAAGGGACGCATTGCCCATTTGAATTTTCCCTAGTGCAAAAAAGGAGAAAGTGACCTCAGGAGACAACTGTTTGGTATACACACAGGCTTGAATGCACATACACACACTTACACACAGATATACGTTTATACACACACACACACAACCTACACATACAGGCATGCATGCACATACACACACATGAACATACCATATACACACAGATATGCATGTATACATATACTATATACACACATATGCCACATACATATATATGCACACATACATACACATCACCCACTTACATACACCAAATACATACAAACATGCACAAGCATGTATACATACATATGTGTGCATATGTATGCATACATAGATATACATGCCACGTACACCACTATACACATACATATATACACACTACATACACACCTACACATATCACATTCCTACACACAGGCACACAGGCACACAGTACACACACCACACATAGATACACATGCACACATCACATACATGTGCACACATCACATACACAAAATACACAGACATATACATATGTACATATACACACCACATATGCACACATTCATACATCCACACATACACATGCATGTGTGCACACATACACTTCATATGTGCACACATGCACATGCACATGTGCACATATACACATGTGCATATGCCACACACACACACACATACAAATATACATGAGTACACACATACAATACGTATATGCACAGACACAAATGCACATATATAGACAGACTTATTTATGTACACACAACAAAAATATACACTTGGATATGGACACACACTTACATGTACAAATATGTCACAGAACACATATATACACACATGTGCATACACATCTATGCATACATACACATATACATATACTCCGCATATGCACACACGTATATGCAAACAAGCGCACATACACAGGCCTCCAGGGAAGCTCACATCATTGTCTGTAGCAGGAAATAGAACCAGTGATAATCCTAGCCTCACTCCCGCCTGGGCCTGTCATACACAGTTAAAAGAAAGTGAGTCAACTACCACCTCAAAGGGAGGTAAACACTGTGTTGCATAACTGTAAGGTGGAATAAGGCCAGTTGAGACTGAGAGTGGGTAGGAAAATAGAGAGATTGGGGATCTTTTTGTAGAGAATATAGCTTATGCACACAGCACTCTAATGTATAAGTACATGTTCTTATGTTTAATCTGTCCAACTCTGGTTTGAGAACATAGACAATTGTTTTGTTTTGTTTTTTTCCTTCTGGAGAGTTTACCATCCTCTAGGTATTTATGGAAGTGGCCAATGGAGCAGTTCAGGATAAAGGTTCTAAAGTCAGGCGGACCTGGATTGGTACCCACTCCGTTAACCAGATGACCCTGGGCAAGTTACTCAACCTCTCTAAGCCTCAGCTTCCCCAGCTATAATACGGTAATATTAAAAAGGGTATTATGATAAAAAAAAAAAAAACAAACCTTAGTGATGTGCCTAACACCCAGCTAAAAGAAGAGCCAAAGTCAGTATTTATTGTCTTCTCACTTAGCTACTCTCCGACATCAACAGATGAAAACAAAGGCCTACGGGAATCAGCCCTTTCAGTCGTGGAGGACTGCTTGTGATTTCTTAACGTTTGTGAATTCTTAGAAATCATCGATACAAAAGCAATTCTCTGAGCCTCTGTTTCCTCACTAACAAAATGGGGACAATGACAGTATCTATTTCATTGGGTTGTAATGTGGACTAAATGAATTCAGCACTTCTATAGTAAATGCCGGGAGCTCTGGTAGCATAGTGCCTAAAGCACTTGACTGCCAACCAGAAGGCTGGAGGTTCAAACCCACCAGCCACTCCTCGGGAGGCAGGTTGGGCAATCTACTTCCATTGTGATACCGCCTCGGAAACCCAAGGAAGGGTCACTATGAGTCGGGGCTGACTCAACAGCATATAACAACAACAACATCAACAACGGTAAAAGCCACGTAAGTTTGTTAAATGAAAAAAAAAAAAAAAGAGTAAACGAACAATGACTGCAAAGCAGTTAGCAAACAAGGCCTCTTGGCACTATGAGTACAGAGCCACAATGAAGGACACTAGTTTGATCTAAGGTACAGATTTTGAGGAAGAGGATGGCTTGGGAGGGCAGAAAGCTCACTCTGAGGTGAAGTAGCATTAGGGAGGGGATCCTGGGTGAGGTGAGATTACTAAAGAGCTTTCTACCTCATGAACAATTTTCTAATTTCTAATTTTAGGAAATTGCTAAAGCGCCTATCACTCAGTTATTTCTTGTGGGGCATAGAGGAGAGACAGTCACGCCAATGATTCATCATTTCAATAGATGCAGGAGTTCAGTCAACCACTAGTTATTTCACAAAACTCTTCTATTGGTTTTCCCAACAAAGTTGGGTTTATCAAGGTAGCCTACTTGTCTTCCTCCCCATCCCACCCACCCTCAAACAACATATCACTTTCAAATAGAAAAATCTTTGACCTGCTCCTACTCCAACGAGAAAGGGAGACTGAAAAAACTTAAACAACCTCTGAATTCAGAGAGATTTGAGTGTAGAAGTACTAGATTACTTTTTTTTTTTTTTTTTTTTACCAGAATATCATAGTGGAAAGAAAAGAGAGGTCCTTGTGATGTCTTCTAACTTTGTGTTATATATTAAGCACCTAGTGTATACAGGGTCTATTGTATAAATGGTCACCAGTGTCCAGAGCTGGTCAGGCACAGCTATGATCCTTAATACAAGGACTCAAAATATTTAT